AATCTACAAATACTATTACTTACAACTTTGCAATAGCAAGATTGTGGACAATGAAGAGGGTGCTAAAAATCTTTCATTAATGCTTCACGAATTATCCATTTAGAATTGAGAAGAGTGGAGTAGAGTAGAGTTAGGACACGAAGGGGTGTGCAATAGACTTACCTCCACGTGGTGCACCCTAAACAACGTATGCTCATACGGCATAAAAGTCTATAAACCGGGAGTTGACTTCTCACTTCTTACCACCAAGACCCCACTGTATGTCCGATTCAACCACTTCAACATTACTCATCTTACCTTGTCTCTACCTTTCTGTCTGTCTGTCTGTCTGTCTGTCTGTCTGTCACTCTTACATCTCTGAATCACTTTTCTCTCCTTCCTCTCAAAATTTTCAATTTTCATGTTTCCCCACCCTGCAAAGTAGGCTATTAAGCTTATGTTAATTATAAAGACGCCTGTCATTTGAAATAAATAAACAAACAACTTAATAAATAGATAAATACAAATTTAGCTCGATTTGGTAGGCAGCTTTCTTCCAAGCCAATTTCCAACATTCAAAATGTGGCACTAAGTGCAGTATACAAGTAGGAAAGTGGCTGTAAAAGAAACAAAAAATTGTATCGATCGATTGAATGCAACTCTGTACAAAAACTGATGTTTCACATCTGTCATAAGTGGCGTGACCTGGGCCTCTTGACCTGGATTGCAGTCCTTTATTATTTTGTACTTGGCCATTTAATCAGTTGCTATATCTGTTTCTACCTGACCCCAAGTGACCTCATTGGATACATTTGGCATCTGCAAGCTATATATTGCCAGCCAAAAGATACATTTGTCATATTTCAACTGATACCTCTGCAGTCAACATGTCTTGCTCTCTCTCCCGAAACCGCTCACACCGACCACTTCATCCTACACAGGCAACTCGTGAACATCTCGACACCGAGATTTCCCAATATCATCATACTTCCCTGCCACCTCTTCACGATTTCACCTCTTCATCGCATCGTACTTCTAACGCTATTCCTCCTCTTCTTTCACCTCATTCTTTACACTTACTCAAAGCGCATCACTTCTTCCCCTCCTCAAGCAACCACTCTAGTGCGTACACAACCAATACACTCCATTCACCTCCTTCAACTCCAGCTCCAGCGCTCGCGTCAACCTCCTCGCCTCCTTCTTTAAGCTCCACTTCAACAGGTTCACTCTCTTCTCTGCCTCACGTACCCTCCCTCTCCCACCTAGATCTCATCCCCTCCATCGATACCACCCTCACTACCTCCCTCGAGGCCTCCATCTCGCTTTCTTCCACTTCCTCTTCCACTTCTCGCCACATTCGCCCTGCTTCTCCACATCCTCCTCGTACCCCTCCTCCCCCTTCCCGTACTCTTCATCCTCCTAAACCTTTCCCTTCTCATCCACCTCCTACTTTCTCTTCTTCCTCTCCACCCACTTCTATCTCCCTCCCTATACCAACATTCCGCGGTTACAGTTATACCCCCAACGTCCATCGCACCAATCGCCAAACCCATCATCAAATTCCTCCAATTTCTACTAAATCCTGCCATCCAAATTCTATCCTATTCCAACTCTGTCCTCCTTCACCACCAACACCACCACCAACTTCTCCCCATCCAGCTCCAATGTCCCACCACCACCACCACC